CGTGCTGTCCGGACCTCTCCGGTGTGCAGGCCCACAGTGAAGAGCCCTGGCTCAGTGGCCTTGGCCAGCTGATACGAGAGCCAGGCGTTCTGGCCAGAATCCGCGTCCACGGCCACCACCTTCGTGACCAGGTAGCCCGGCTCAGAGGAGCGGGGGGCCGGCTCGAGGCCGGTGGAGCCGTCGGTGGGAGGGGAGGGGTACAGGATCTCCGGGGCATTGTCGTTCTGGTCCAGGATGAAGAGGGTCACGGAGACGTTGGAGCTGAGGGGTGGGGAGCCCCCGTCCTGGGCCTTCACCTGGAAGTTAATCTCCTGAAAGTCTTCATAATCAAAAGTTTGTAGGGTATAGATAGCTCCAGTCTCTGAGTTAATAGAAATATAGGAAGAAAGGAAGGATTGTCTTGCTGCAACCTTCTGCACATGTATATGTGGATGAGTCCCATTGAACTCTGTGAGATTTATGTCTGAGTAAACCTGGATAGGTTTTTGCTGCACAATTTCTCTTTCCATTATGGAATAAGCTATTCTCCCATTTTCCCCACAATCTGGGTCATGTGCTTTCAAGGCTGTAATGAAATCACCTCGGTCATTATTTTCCTCTGTGTAAAAAATGAAACTCGGAGTTCTGAAGGTGGGTGGGTTATCATTTTCGTCTAATATTTCCAGTGGGAAGTACGCTGTTGCTGAGAGAGAAGGGACCCCTCGGTCACTGGCTATGATCGTGATGTTGTACTCTGAGACCTTCTCCCTGTCAAGGAGACTCGCGATTTCCAAGCTGTAGTAACTTTCAAATGACTTCTTCAACAGGAAGGGAAGACTGGTCGGAATGGAGCATGTGACCTCCCCATTTTCCCCACTGTCTCTGTCATTTATATGTATAAGGCCTATGGCACTTCCCGGAGGAGAGTTCTCCAGAATCTTGCTGAAAAGGGAAGTCACAGTGATCTCTGGTGGGTTATCATTTGCATCCAGGATTTGGATAACCACTCTGGCACGAGTCGACAATCCAGCCCCGTCTTGAGCCTGCACTTCCATTTCATGTGATTTAGAATCTTCAAAGTCAATATTCCCAGTGACTAATATTTGTCCTGTGGTGGGATCTAGGTGGAATGCTTTAGAAGCTTTCTCTGAAATTTTTCTGAATGAATACATTATATTTGAATTTACTCCCTCATCGAGGTCACTTGCATTCAGCATTAGCACGTGAGACCCTTTAAGGATGTTTTCAACAATATTTACTTCATAAAGAGACCTACTAAAAATAGGAGCATTGTCGTTCACATCTGTGACAGTAACACAGATTCGCACCGTTCCAGACCTTGGTGGTTGTCCTTTGTCAGCAGCAGTGAGAAACAGCTGATGCATCTTCTTTTCCTCGCGATCTAGCAACTGTTCAAGGACCAGTTCCGCATATTTGACTCCATCAACTCCAGGCTGCACATCCAGAGAAAAGTGTTTGTTACTACTGAGTTCATAGCTCTGGAGAGAATTGGTCCCCAGGTCTGGATCCTGAGCCTCTGGTAAAAGAAATCGCGTCCGAAGACCCGAGTTTTCAGCAATTTTTAATTCCAGCTCTTCTATAGGGAAGGTGGGTGAATTGTCATTAATATCTGCTATTTCAACTGTAATCATAAAAAACTTCACCTTATCCTTGACAAGAATCTCAACATTTAACAGACATTTCTCCATCTGGTGGCAAATCTCCTCCCTGTCTATTACTTCATTGACCAGCAAAAGGCCATTCCTTAAATCAAGTGCAAAATATTGCTTCATACCTCTGGAAATCATCTGGACTTCACCACTCGACAAGTCCTTTATATCCAAGCCAAAATCCTTTGCAATATCTCCAATGAAAGACCCTTTCGCCATTTCCTCAGGAATTGAATAATAGATTTGCCCAGAAGCGCTCTCCCAGGCAGTGGCCAGCAGAAAGCAAAGCAGAATTCTCCTTTGAGAGCATAACCTTCTTCCAACCATTTCCAGATAGATGCAGTTGGCTGTGATGCGATGCAAGGGCTCTGAAAGACTGCCTAGGTCATTCGTTTTGCATGTCCAGGCATGCAGAATGTGGATTTGAGCTTTGTGTATTCTCTGCTGAATGAGAACAGAGAACAAATTTGTCCTTCTAAGTCTTCTGAGGAAACAGCGACACTCAGAGTTTCAACCAAGAACTGCACCAGTTTTCAGGAAAACAAGAGACTTGAAACAAAAGCAGGTTAATTTGTTTGAAAAGGTGTCTATTATATTAAAGGATGACTAAATATTGCCATATGTTGTGTTCTAACTTGGATTATAGAAGAACTCGTAGTAAATTTGTACAAATAAATTTCTGAAAATATAAGTTGATTAAATTTCATAAGAATATTTTCTAATTCAGTTTTCTTTTAAAAAGAACATGTACTTTAAAAAATAAACCTTATAATATGTATTTTATAAAAGACTTACAACAAACACTTTAGCATGTTTAAAATAAAAGGAACCATGCATTCTAAAAAGTTTTGAAATATATTCTTGCTTGCAATACAATTTATTTAAATACTATGATGATGATGATGAAATGTTTTTAGTTTTTCATTTGAGATAAATTTGACTTTTTAATCTTAGAATTTGCAATGCAACTTGGTTTAGCATATGGGCCTGGGGCCTTCTTTGCTTTCTGTGAAATATAACAATTTTGGATATATTGTGGGCAGGAATGATGTAGGTACCATCAGATAAAGGACTATGATTGTGCTGGGGGGAAATGAAAGTAAAAATAGCATTCATTTCCAATCCATCAGCCCAGTATTGTTTTTAGGAAGCAGAATCCCAGTTCAATGTATTTCTGATTGTTACTGTGTTACTATATAGTTCTTCATTTTTGTTTTCCCCTTTTTTCTGTATATGTATTTGTGGTTCTGTTTTTCTTTTGTATTATCAGTGGTTTTTCACTAATGTTTGGTTTTGTTGAAAAGTGATAAACATTTTAAAAAATGGAATTTGCTGAGCTAATAATGTTAAAGTTGACATCCATGATAGACAAGATAAGGTGCATAATTATACAAAATGACAAAGCAATCTGATGCAAATTGACACGGGCATGGCAAGAAAAAGTAATGGCAATTCACGCTTTTGTCCTTTTCACTTGACTTTGCAATTTGTCCTATGCATTTCTTTCAAATTTCTGGTGGAAACTGATCAGAGGGGTTATCTTTCTGTGCTGTCCCACTTTAGACTGGAGATGGGGGATTGTTGAAGAGGCGTGTATGTTATTGGATTGCTGAAGTTCCTAGCAGCCATTGAAACACTCTGGATGGTTTACTGCCGCATGAAAGCAGCAAGAGCTGCCCAAGTTCTGTCAGGCGTGCTCTGTTCAGCTCTGGAGCCAGAAAACTGTAAGTACGTGACGGTTTTCAAAGACTTTAAAGTGCTGGGCCTATTCCTTCAGTCATGCAATGCACTGTGAGCTCACATGCCGAGTCTGTGCTACTACGTTGATTGGGACCATAGCAAGCAAGGGGCAGTAGTTCAGGTTCTTCATGCCACCAGTTTACGTTGCTAGAAAGACATCCATTTGTAATGCAAGTCGCAAGTATAGGACAAGGGGGTAAAGCCCCCACCAACTGCTCTAGGGCCATGTGGTTGCTGTTGTTGATAATAATGATTGATTCCTGCTTTATACTGCTCAATAGCTGTGGTTCGCTGGATGGTTGACAATCTATGAGGTTCCACGAGCTTATTTTGAACTAAAAATACCTTAATGACATCTTTAAAGTAACGTGCAGTTTCAGCCCCAGAGAACGCTGGAGCATCCTGTTTCCAGAGTCTGAGTCTAGCAGCTGCTCTTCTGGAATCTGGGAGTTCTGAATGGTCAGGCCAAAGAGGGGTCAGGCAAAAGACAAGGTCTCCACAGTCCAGGTCACAAGATTTAAGTAAATAGCTGTTCTTTGGGACATGGTCTAATGGTTAAGCAGGATCTGGGGGGTCTCCTCAGTTGTGGTCTGCATTGCCTAGAACCTGTTCCCCAACTGTGGTTTTACGACGGACAAGAGAGGCTTCAGACATGCATCTCTGATCTAATGTGGAATAGCCCAGTTGTCCCACACCATGCCTCTGCTTCCACCGCTATCCTGCCCCACAGCTTATCTGCAATTTACAGGAAGAGTCCAAAGCTCCAGCATGTGAAGGGATACTTAATGGCTGGTGAACATGCTATTCTTCATTGCTTAACTGACTGGACTTTGCACTGGCACCCAACAGAAGACGTCTCAGCCTCCCACTGCCCCACTTCAGTATATATAATTGATGGCAGCAGATGCAGGGACTGTCTTCCAGAAATATCTCCATACCCAAATCCATGCACAATTTTCCAGAAGTGCCTCCATACACAAGACAGTGGTTGAGCGGGCACTTTTAGACATCCCCATTGCTCTTCAGCTTCATTGCCCTTTTGGCAAATAATTAGACCAAATCCCATCCCTCAGTGAACTGTTCGTCCTCCGTCCATGGTTGGGTTTCAGGAACTTCAGTCAAGGACGTATGAAAAGTGCCATCTTCAGTTTTCTGGTGTTTGAAAGAAGTTCCTCCTGTCCTTTCCTCCCAGCTTGGGGTTCTAGCTGCCCATTTCCCAAAACAGACCTGCTAAAGAATGTTCAGATCAGAATTGTATGTCCTTTCAAATAAATAAATAACATTATTATCACAACTGCAACAGTAGACAGAGATGATGTGAGAATGTGTTAATCAGAGTCCACCATTTGCTATGGATCAAGAATAGTCTCTCCACTTCTAAAAGCCATTATTTGTAGAACTTTAGACTGCTTGGTGCGATTGGCAGGTGGATGATACCAGCCAATGGTTAGGAATTGTGACTTTCCCTCTGAGTTATTTCTGCACTACTTCATCCATGAATATCCACATTATAAATCAGTTAATTCAAGAGTTACTCTTCCATGGCTGATTAAGGAACCATGCTGGAGTTGATACATCATCATAGTTGGAGACTGAACTCTTAGAATAACATTAGGAGTATAAAGCACTTAGAGATCCAGGTTCATAGTTCAAGTGGAATCACAATTTCAGCTCCAGGTAAAAATAGAGATGTTAGAGAATGTTATAGAAATGTTATAATAGAATAGTTATAGCATAGAAATGTAATAATAATAATAATAATAATAATAATAATAATAATAATAATAATAATAGAAGAACAGAGAAATTTCTGTCCATGGCTTCTACTGCAAAGAGCCTCTGGCAAAATCTGGTTCAGGAGATAGCCTTAAAATCAGATATGACTAGAAATACATGCACATGAGCAGAGATCATGTCCAGCAACAGACTGCACTGAAAATTTGTTGTATGGGGCCATGCAAACCACAGTCAAACGTCATTAATAGTCCATACCAGAAGGCATTCTGGGCAATCAAAGATGAAGGTACTTCATCCTGGTAATCAACATCTAGAGTATATGAAAAAAGCAGCCTTCTATTTCATGGTAGGTTTTGATAATTCAAAGTTTAAACAGACAAGGATTCAGGTTGGATGGAGAATCCAAGGGAGGCTGCATTTCAGCGTCATGTATGGAGGTTTTCAGACAGTAAAGCGGAAGCGGTTAGCAGGGAACTTGACAAAGACCCCAAATCCTTGTTTAGCAAAGCTTTCTAGTTTAATTTTTCATGCTACAAGTTTATCTGGAAGCACTATCAGACCAGTAGAGAGTGTTCAGCAGAAAGGTGAGTGCAGTTGAGGTGAAGGTATAAGAGGAATAAGAGGTTTGCTCTGGGGAACAAACAGGCCTTTCTGTTTCATCAGCTCAGGTGTAGGGGTGTGCCCATTATACCATTACCAGTTATTCTGTCCTGACAAGGAATTCTGGCCCATCACCAAGCAAGATGTTACAACTCTGCATTTTTGCTCTGAAAAGAGCAGAAAGAGATAACTTCTAAACTGCCCTCCTTTCCACATGTTTAATTCTCACAGATTTCAGATAATCAGACTCAAGCCCAGAACCTGCAGCTGCTCCAAAAGAGATCTCACTCATCAGAAGCTCATCCCTCCTTTCTTTAATATATAGTTGAAATGTTGGGCAAGAAAATTTCCCATGACCACTAACTTCCCATGGCTATAAGGACTCCTATGTTATTAAATCCAAAGGAATATTTGGCTGAGAAGCTGCAAGGTCTATTGGGAAAGGAAAAATCCCGAAAGGGCTTTGCATGTATAATTATCACACGTCTACACTTTTTACAAGCGTCGAGTGAAAATTTCCACTCAATTGAGTTAAAAGCTTTTTGCCCCTAGAATCACAAAGGAAACCAGCAAGCTCACAAAGAAACATGCTTGCAGTAGCTTTTCAGCATATTTAATCTTATTTATCATCTTCCTTGCATTTCTTGATAATCACCACTCTGGAATTGATCTTAATGACCATTCAGTTATGTGCAGTTCAGCATAAGCAACTGTAGAGTAATGCATGTTGGGGCCATAAATCCCACTTTCAAGCACACTCTGATGGGATGTGAACTAGCAAGAAAGGGATCTTGGGGTAGTGGTGTTCAGCTCCATGAAAAGTTGGCCCAGTGCTTAGCTGCTGTGGAGAAGGCAAACTCCATGGTAGGCATAATTAGTAACAGAATAGAAAATAGAACTGCCAAAATCTTATTTCCTTTATACAAATTTTCAATGTGACCACTCTTAGAACAGAGTGTTCTGTTGTGGTCACCTTGCCTGAAAAAGAGCATTATTGAGTTGGGAAAAGAACAGAGAAGGGCAACAAAAATGACCAGGAAGCCAGAGCAGCTCTGCTGTGAGAAGCATTGACAACGGCAGACTCCAAAAGCCACATCAGCAGCCATCACCTCTTCACGCCAGACTACGAGTGTTCTGGCCTGAAAAGTCTTTCCAGAAGTTTGGAGATTAGGGCACACCTGATGCAGATTGTGATTCAGAGATGCAGGGCCAGTCGTGGCTACATCAATGCAGTTCCCCATATTTCTTCT